CTTGAACGTCTTCCTATATGGAGCACAGGGAGGGAAGGAAAGCCCTCCTGCAATGGAACCTGGGACATGGCTTCTTTTCTCCCTCCAGGACAGTGGGTCACTTCTTAGCACCTGGCCCATTTGGCTTAGGCAGCTTTTGCTCTGAAGCTGTCAGGGGCTTGGGAATGTTCATCATCCAGTGAGGCTGTGAAGCAGTTTTGCAGTCCTTTCTGAAAACCTTCCTAGAAATTGAGTCTGTTATCAGTTGTCCAGAAATGGCTAGATTTCTGGACAACTGATAATTGTTAAATTTCCCTATACATTTGCTTTCAGTTGCTACTTGGAAGGGCCATTTCCCAAGGGGCCAACAGTGCATATCTTAGGGAAGCTTATTATCTCCCTGTTCTGCTTTTTCTACAGTGACTGTGTGCTGCTTTTTTTTTTTTTTTTTTTTTTTGAGACAGAGTCTCGCTTTCTTGCCTAGGCTAGAGTGAGTGCCGTGGTGTCAGCCTAGCTCACAGCAACCTCAAACTCCTGGGCTCAAGCGATCCTCCTGCCTCAGCCTCCTGAGTAGCTAGGACTACAGGCATGCGCCACCATGCCCGGCTGATTTTTATATTATATATATTAGTTGGCCAATTAATTTCTTTCTATTTTTATGGTAGAGATGGGGTCTCGCTCAGGCTGGTTTTGAACTCCTGACCTTGAGCAATCCGCCCGCCTCGGCCTCCCAGAGTGCTAGGATTACAGGCGTGAGCCACCGCGCCCGGCCCTGTGTGCTGCTTTTGTAACAAGGAAAAATGATAGATAAAAGAAGTGATAATGGTTGTCATAGACCTGTGGTTTGTTGTAATGATTTCCCTATTGTGCCAGGTTTAATTTGCCAATTTTTCCATATTACAAACATCACTGAGCAGGAATAATTGGCCAAAATAGAATCAGAAGTGAAAAAAGGTGGGGGAGAGACACATGTTTTTTAATAAGTTGACCAAAGAGCTGAAGGAAGCAGGAAGGAGTGAAACCACTTTCCATGGTGCTTCAGTGGGCCAGTCCTTGGAAAACAGAGACTTCAGAGCCATTTGTCAGGGGACGTGATGTGTGCTATGCTCAAAGGATGGTGGTACACAAGTGGGTGTATCTGGGCACAGTGCCAGCCCTGGCCAACTTGACTTTCTGGGCTGGACAACAAACATTGATATTTGGGTTCTCTTTATTAGAAAGAAAAAAAGGAAACCAAAAACAAAAATAAAAAAGAAAGCTTGTGATGTTTGTTTTTGAGGTAGGAGTGGCCTTTCCTTCTTCTTGGCCATAAAACTCCCTTGGAGAGGGGGATTATGATAGGGTTACTCTAGGTCTCTTTCCTGGGAGTAAACCCTTGAAGAAGGAATTTATAGCAGCCTCAGTTTGCCAGAAGTTTCTGCTTTTAGTCAGATAAGGAAAGGATGGGGAGACCTTCTTTCTGCAAATATTGAATCTCATATGTCTTCAGCTTAAAATAATCTTTATATCAACTCTGGAAGTCTGAGTGGGTCTCCACAAATGCAGCATATCAAAAGAGATTGACTACATAGGCAGATACAAGAATCCAGCTGTCTTCTATTAATTAGATGTTAATGAACTTTACAAAAATGTAAAACAGTATCACTCTGCTCACTTATTTTTATGTTTGGGAAAACAGTTATCTTTCATAGAAATGTTATTTATATTAACTGGGTTTATTATTGTTTGTGCTAAATGAATTGATACTTATATCTAATTTATAATAGACATATTAGGGGTCCTTAATAATTTTTTATAATGTAAAGGGGTCCTGAGACCAAAAGTTTCAGATTTCTGGTATATATCTTTCTTCCTTATGGTCCTGGGGTTAGCTGCTGTACTTCCTGGTATTACATCTATTTTCTAGGCTGGATGAAGGAGGACAAATTTCACAGAAATGGGTAACGGCTATATCAGGGAAGCAAAATGTTTTCCCAGAAAACCTCTAGTTAGTGTCTTTACAAAGAACTTTTGTACATATTTTTCCTTAATTGCAAAGTGATGTGGGAAAGAGAACTTTTAGCTGGGGCCCTTGCTGTTCAGAACAAAGTCAGGGTTCTGTAGGGGCATGGATGTAGGGGCATGGATGTTGAGTAGAAAGTTAGCACTGTTTCTTGCCCATAGATTTTTATTTTGTTTTTTGTTTTTTTAATGACTGGTCCTGGTTAGAGTTTAAGGGAAACACCCACATGAAGTTCTGTTGTTTGATTCTTTTATACAAAATCCCCAAAACTTGCTTAGGCATCTCACCTTATTGTCTGCATGATAATTCTTGGCTTCTTCTTTCCAGGGCGTGTTTGTTCTATGTGGATTCTGCCTTATGTACGTACCCCCAGGGTACTTTCTACTGGAGCCACACATGGACTTGCAAAAAAACATCACTGACAGGACTGATTAAATTGTGAAATGCCACTTATTCTTTAAGTGAGATTCTTTTTATTTTTGTGATTTTGTAACTTCCTACAATTAACAAAACTTTGCTGCCTCACACCCTCAGACTCAGTTCTTTCCCAATCTATATATCAGTCTGTTTCCTGATTGATTTATTTGTATTAACCCAGTTGTGTGTTCACTGCCATGTTTTACACAGGAATGTACTTTTAAAATAGTCATGATTTGCTTTTTATAAAATGGGTCATAAACCAGGCATGCCTATAGCCCCAGCTACTCAGGAGTCTGAGGCTTGAGCCCAGGCGTTAGAGACTGATACAGTGGTGGCTGTGAATAGCCATTATACTCTAGCCTGGGCAACAGATTGAGACTCTGTCTCTTAAAAAAAAAAAATGTCATGAGTCATAGCCTTTATGGATTATTCTGGTCCCAGATTTGGAATGAAACTTGCACTTCAAATTGTGGTCTGGGGACTAGCCAGGGGTATGGGAGTCACCTGGAAGCTTATTCATCCACAATACATTCTTGACTAGTGAATGAAACTTAAATGGTTTGTAGATTGCTTGTTATAGGGACAGAGGGTCTCCATTTCTAAGGAGTGAATGTGTGAATGACATGACTCAGTGAAATTCCTAATTAAAATTGGTCTTTTAGAAACATTATTTTGGTGACATACCCTTGACACCTTGAGCATGTTTTATAATTTTGTTCTTTTCTTGTGTAACTAACTCATTGACTGGCTTAAGACCAAGAAACAGTCCAAACACTTGAGGCCAAACACTTAGTAGCAGTGTCTGTATCGTATTACTCTCAAGAAACCTGTACTTCTATTTCCATTTAGACTTATGAAAAAAGGGAAGAATATAATAAAAATGATCAAAGAATTGCACAAACACATTACTGTGAAGATAAAGAAGGCAACATTGCCAACACAGAATTGCTGGCTGGCGGGCAGCCCACTGCTGAGAGATCTGGAAATGTTTCTTCATCAGCATTTTAGGGATACTGAGTGTTCACAAACTGAGTGTACAAAAGTGAAGGCAATCTGTAATTTGGTGAGTTGAGGGGAAGGAAAAGTTCAGACTCTGTTGATAGCTAGCTTCCTTTAAGGAAAGGCTTGATGGAATTAGCTCTTCTTTAAAGGAGTTTTCAAGCAATCCACTAGCCCTTTTGTACTTCTGATTGACCAAGGGATTTTTACCTGCTAATTACACCTCAGCTTTCACCATGGTTAGGGCACGACTTGCAAACTGAAGACAGATCATTTTAAAGATACAAGTAAGATATTCTCTTCCTTTGGTAAAGTGTTATGGTTTTTTTTGTTTGTTTTTTGTGGGGGTTTTTGGCTTTTGTTTGTTTGTTTTTTACTTATTTGGGTTTAGGGAAAAAAATGAATTGATTCAGGAGAAGTTACTTTCTTATTTTTAAAAATCAGATTTATGTTTGGACTGTTCACTTTAAAAAAAATAGTCAAAGTGTAGAAGATTATTGTTTTTGTTTGCTAAGGCTGTCATAACAAAGTACCACACACCAGATGACTTAAAGAACAGAAATTTCTCACAGTCTGGAGGCTGACAGTTTGAGATCAAGGTGCCACTAGGGCTGGTTTCTCTTTGGCTTGTAGGTGGCAGTCATTTACCTCCGTGTTCATGTTATCTTCCATCTATGTGTGTCTGTGTCCTATTCTTCTCTTCTTATAAGGACACCAGTCATTGGGACTATGGGATTTAGGGTCTAGCCCGATGACCTCATTTAAACTCAATTACCTCTTTAAAGACCCTGTCTCTAAATATAATCACATTCTGAGGTACTGGGGGTTAGGACTTCAACATGTGAATTTTTATGGGGGTGAGGGGGACACACAGTTTAGCCCATAACAATTTTGTATCAGGAAGGTCAACTTAAAGGCAGAAAGACCAGGTAGGACGTTATTCAAGAATTCCAGATGAGAAGTGAGGAGAAGCTAAACTACAGCATTGACAATAAAAATGGAAATGAGATTTGAGATTGAGAAACATTAAGGAGGAAGAATTTGATACAAGACTTTGTGATTGAATGTGAAGGTGCAGAGAGGGAGGAGGCTAGCTTCACTCCAAGATTTCTTTGCTCCAGGAGGAGAAACTAGCTTTAGGGAGAAAATGTGAACTGTATGATGTCCTGTTGAATCTGAGCACTGTGTTAGCCAAACAACTCAGATGGGGTCAGCTGTGCCGCTTTCTTCTTCCCTATCCTACAGTGAACATGGACCCCATCACATACAACTGAACATAGAGGTTCTCACCTCTGAACTTCAATCCTAGATGTGTCTTAAGACATTTATCACCATCTTATTTTGACAGTTAATTCCAAACTCTTGTTTTTTTCCTGATAACTTGTTAAATTCCTTTAGGACAGGGACTATCGTTTTATTCATTTTTCCCAGTTCTCTAGTATCTACTACCTGGCTGCACACATGTAGTATGTAGTAGTTTGTGCTTAGCAAATTCTAGTTCAGGGAATCATTTTTCAGTAGGATTGTTATGATCATTTACTTTTTCTTTGCATATTTTAATCAAAGCTTGACACTTAACACCTGTTTGGCTTTCTTGCAGCATGAGAAGACTTTGGGACATTCCATGAGTTATTCAAGCAACATTTCTAAGGTACAGTTATTTATTACCCTGGGGTTTTTATATTTTTATACCTGTTTATGTTTATACTCTTTTTTTTTTAAAGACATAAAGTTCTTGTTAAATTTCTGTAATCTGCTCTGGGACCATACAAGATATATAGCAGTTATTTTTTTCTAGTAAGGCAGTTTTGAGTGTGTGTTGGAGGAAGTGACTTACAGGAGAAAGCGTCATTCCCCCCTCTCCCCTGTAAATCATATACTTTATGGGAGAAAAAATCTCAGTCACCAGAGTCTGTCATTTCAATTAGGATCATATTTGACTACAAGTACCAAAAAGCCAATTATAGTGACTTAAATAATTATTGATTTATATGGTTCCGATGACAAGGTGTCTGGAGGTAGGTGGTCCAGGGCTGAGTTACTCACAGATGTTGCCAGGGACCTAAGCTCTCTTTATTCTTTGAGCCACCTTCCTTCTACTTGGCATATTGTCTTATGGTGACAGCTGGACCTTCGGGCATGTTGGCTATGGCTGCCCAGCTGCCTGACTTCTGCTTACATCTCACTGTCCAGAGCTGGATCACAGGCCGCCTTTAGCTAGAAGGCAGCTAAGGAAAGGAGGCTTGAAGGGGTGAATCAGCCATCTGACAGCATCTGCCACACCTGTGGTGTGGTCACCTTAGCCTACCAGGAGCACATTGGCTGTGATCCAGAAGCCATCAGAGTGTCTCACATGCAGTGAGCTTACTCCCAGGCAGTGTTCCTCTTTCAGCCCAGACATGAACTCTGGCCAGTGCGTTGGCCATACAAATATGGGCATGCAGTTTCCTTGCAGGTGTGGGCTTTCTTCCCATGTCTGTGGCCAGACATGACACAGATCCTGACGGGAAGATTTGAACAAGTGACAAAACCTATCTTGTTATTTCAGGCCTCCTGGATACTCTGAAGTAAAGTTACATTATATGTCATTTTAGGTTACTGACTACACAGATGGTTTCATTCAGGTCACCTTACTTGTTTAAACTAAAAGTAAAATCTAGCAAATCCTCTAAGACATTAGTTGGTCTCTTCTTAGACATATTTGGAATTGAGTCGTCTCATTCTTCCATTTAACACATTGCCACACTAGAAAAAAATTTTTTTCCTTGGGGCCCCAGTGTTTTATTACTAATGTAGAATAAAAACTTATAAAACAAAATGATCCTTTCTAATTTAATGAAAAATTTGTTCTTTTTTATTTTCTGTGCATGAGTTATATGCAATTAAATTGTCGATAAGTAACAATAAGAACATCAACAAGTAAGATTGTCAAGAACCAATTGCAGGGTTTTCCCTAGGGGGCCAACCATCACATAACATTATGCTGCAGCATGGCAGGATGAGTTGCCTACACACCATATGGCTCGCAAGGTAAAGAGATGTGTGAATTACATATGCTTCATGAGGCCCCGGGCTCAAAACTAGTGTGAGTTAAAACAACTCACATAGCAGTTAATGTGCTAATTTTGTGTGAAAAGAAAAATACGAATGCCTTTCTCTAGATGCTTTTTTGTGTGCAACCTCCATTTCTTTTCTTTTGCTTTAGCCAAGAATGCTGGAGCTTTAGAATTGTGCAATGGTGTATAATTACTGTTTGGATAAAGTGTGCAGTTTTGCCGTACCACCTTTCAAAGGACGTGGTCAGCTTTTAAGCATCAGGAAAAGTGAGAAGGTGCAGATGCAGATGACCTGTTTGGTTAAGTTGAATTAAGTGTGTTAAAAACACACAGTATTACTTAATGCCCTGCCGTGGTGGCTAAGGGCAGTTCTGAAGGAGGGTATCATCCTGTGCCTTAAATACATATCTGTTTGTTTTTGGCTTTTAGTAACATTTTATTTGAAGGAAAGTTTCTTCCTATAGTTAAAAAAATGTTTGCAAAACATTAGCTTAAAATATCTAGAGGAAAAGTTATGGACTTCGCTTGGGGCATGGGTATTCTGAGTTGCTTTGTGAGAGTTTTGCAGTTACATGGGCCATTGTTTACTAGCTATGTGACTTCTGGAATGACACTTCTCTGAGCTTCAATTTCCTGATGAGTAAAATTAGGGTAATAATACAACCTTCAGGGTTATTGTGAGTCTTAGGGTTAATGTTTGCTAGAACCATACAGGGCAGCTTCCTTATTACACTTAGCTAACAAATATGACTGGTGTCAAACTTTGTCAAATCCTGGTGGTCTTAGGTTGATTGGGCTACAGGGGACAGTCCTTACTAGTAGCTATATTATTTATTGCTGATCAGGGGAAGAACTGTATACTTTTTTCTTTCTTCTTACACACATTTTTATTGTATGCTCTTTGTGTGTGGCCACTTACTGTCTCCGGTGAGTTTCTAGACACTTATTGGCCTCATAGGAGAATCTCAGAAGTGGAGCGTGCCCTTAAAACCTCTCATGCTCAGAGAACTTCCCCAAGAACCCATCAGCATGAAATTTTGTTGTAAAGTGCTAAGAAAGTTATCAAGCTATGTGAAGGTGTTAAGAGTGAACCAGTTCATTGAGACTAGCCAGTTCATTGGGACTGGGGAGAGTGGGAAGAGATCCCTGGGGAAGATAACTGTTGCTGAGAGTACAGTTTCCTATTGCAGTATTTATCAAATGAACCTGCTGTTTGAGGACACTGTTAGGCAATGACATGTAAAACCGTATCTTCAGTGTAGCAGCCATATTTAAGTAGATGCTTCATACCCTTGAGATAAAAGGTACAAAGAAAGGAGGTCGGAACATGGACGTGTTTTATGCTACCCGAAGTCCCGTTGTTTCTGTCAGGAGACATTTTCTGTGTACTTTTAGCTCCAGCTGGATTCAGCACATCAGTCAGTCACCTTCAGGCTGCTTTGTGCTTTATCTCTTGCTGGCATGAAGTTAGAGATTGACAAGAGGTGAAAATAAACCTTTAATCTGCCTCATAGTATCCCATCTAGATTTTATTACACAGTAATTGAGTTTCAGTGTTTATTGGAAGCTCTCATATTTCATATTGACTTCAGAAACCAGGCTTCACTTTCAAAGAAGGAAGCAGATAGATTAGCCAGGATATACAATAGGCTGCTAGGTCTGCAGTGGCTTGCCTGTCTTTAAAATGGGCAGCTGCAGTCGATACTCTTAGAAAGTTAATAAAAGAAGTATATTGGGACTGGGCACAGTGGCTCACACCTGTAATCCTAGAGCTCTGGGAGGCCAAGGTGGGAGGATCGCTTGAGGTCAGGAGTTTGAGACTAAGCCTGAGCAAGAGCAACACCCCATCTCTACTAAAAATAGAAAAAATTAGCCAGGCACAGTGGCCTGTGCCTGTACGCCCAGCTACTCAGGAAGCTGAGGCAGGAGGGTCACTTCAACCCAGAAATTGGAGGTTGCTGTGAGCTATGATGATGCAGCTGTGCTCTACTCAGGGTGACAGAGCAAGACTCTGCCTCATAAAAAACCAACAACAACAAAAAAAAGAAATTGAGATATTTAAGCAATTCTATTGGCAAAGTCTTTACCCAGTTCTTACTTTGTCTTAATACAATGATGTTAATGGATATCATTTGTTGAGCCTCTCTTACAGGGGCAGGATTTCATGAAATCTGTCACTCCTTGTCAGTGGTGCATCCGAACCACCTAAGTGGTCCCCAGTCACCTTTTCCTGTTTTATTTTCAACATAACACTTATAACTGCCTGGGTTTTTTACTGAATTTTTTTCTGTTGCCTCTTTACCCCACATGAAGCCCCATGAGCTTAGAGCCATGTCTTGTTACCCCTAAAACTCTGCAGAGCCAAGGATACAGTATAGCCCTGGAGGTTTTCAGCACCTAAGGAGTGAATGTTTCGGTGGTGATGTGCTGGAGGCTTGATACCCAGCCCATTGTCCCTTCCTCTTCATCACCACCACCTCCCAAGCCCAGTCCTCCTCAACTCCTGCAGTAGCTTCCCAAGAATCTGCCTACTTTCTGGCAACCTCCCATATCATCCTCCACACAGCAGCCAGTAAATGGAATCCTAATGCTTCTCCTTTCAAGTCTTTAGTGCATCTCATTGCACTACCTTGACCTGTCAGATTTAAAGTGATCTGGCCTTGGTCACTTGGATCCTCATCTAGTGCAGTGTCCCCTTGGTCATCATGATGTAGGTACAGTGACCACCTTGATGACTCAAGAAAGCTAACTTCCTGCCTGCTTGCACACCTTTGCATATGCTGTTCTAACTGGGAGGCCTCCCCCTCCCACCCTTTGTTTACATGAATGCTAACTCCTGATTCTTGCTGCTTCTTCAGGTCTTAGCTTCATTAGAGGGGCTTTCCCTTGACACCCTTTCCTTAATAAGCTAAATTACATCACTCATTTTGGTTTTGTGTTCTTTTTATTTTTAGCAAATATCACAGTTTATAATGATATTGTAGCAATGTGTAGAGAATCTTATATTTTCAGAAGTAGCAGAATTGCCCCTCTGGGAAAAGACTTGTTTTGTTGATTGAATGCCTGGAAAAGCTGTTGAGTAGTTTGAACCCTACAGGGAACATGCTCATGGAAAGATGGGCATTGGAATGCAGCCCCTGTGCAGTCCTGCCCCGATCTTCACCTTGGTGAGGGGTCCTTGATCTTGTGGGCCAGCAGTGCTGTCCTGGAGCTGTGTGACCAAGATCCCCAACCCATACCTGACCCTCACCCCATGTGCTTCCAGTGCTGCTGTTTGCTTAATCATTTTCTAAAGAAGCAACTCAAAATTTTGTATCATTGTATAATATATGAAATCACATGTTTGGTTAATTTTCTTTTTTCCATTTAAAAAAATTGATACATATTTGTACATATTGATGGGGTACACATGATATTTTGTTACATGCATAAACTGTAATGATCATCAAGTCAGGGTAACTTGGGCTGTCCATTACCTCAAGTATTTATCATTTCTATGTGTTGGGAATATTTCAAGGCCTCTCTTCTAGTTATTTCGAAATGTATAATACAGTGTTGTTAATTGTACCTTATGCTACTCTGTTATCAAACATTA